GGGAGGACACTTGAACCTTTCTGTCTTGGTTGGTCGCATATTTATTTATACCGTTACTTTTTTCACATACTTTATTTTGGGACCCACTGCATGTTAACTACATTTTACACTTTTTAAATGGGATTTATGATAAAAAAAAAATTAACCTAAAACTATTTGCTGTATGATTATTGGGAATAATAATATGTGATATCACCAATGAAGTGCATGAAAAAAAATTGATTGAAAATTAGTTGATAAACGAAGATTTTCTTATCCAAAAACGTCAACTTCAGTTATTTATATGGTCCATGTAGTAGTGCTGAAAAGCACTTTTTTTTGTCAAATTCCTACTAAATAAGACTGATTTATTACAACCTGCTAAGGGTTGTGAGGCTGGACCAGATTATTGGGTTGGTTTGGTTTGGTTTGTTTATTCTATTCTAACGCCACATCAATTCCTTCGACAACATGATTTTTTTTTTAAATCACTAAAATGAATGGAACCTAAAACTACATGCTTTTTCTCTGTTGGGTTGTAATTTGTGTTGTTATGCCTTTTCAGCTAATAGTAGCAGCTGGGATGGGTCCGGTGCTTGCTTTGAAGTACTTCAGATACACATACAGGTCAAGCAAAATCAATATCCTCCAGCAAGCTGAGCGCTTGGGTGGACCCATCCTATCATTGGGTAATATCGAACCGCAGACAAGAGCCTTGGACAACGATCTTGCTCCCTTGTCTATTTCTCAATCCAAGAACGGTAGGAACTCTGTGTTTGAGCCTCTTCTCTCTGATTCCCCAAATGCTGTGAGGCGGTCTTTTGGACCAGGCGCTACATTTGATTTCTTCCAGTCTCAGCCCAAATCTTCCACCTATTCAAGAAACAAGGACAATTAACCATTTCTTAACATCCTACTCCATGTGTGTTGCCTCAGCTGTAGGATGGTGGGTTCAAACCTGCTCTCCACCCCTTACTGCTGACTTCCAGTGTTTTGCCTCCTGGTACGACATAACCATAGAGCCCCTATAGTCTGTAAAGTTATAGCAGTATTTTCGTACTCCTGATTAGCTATTGTTGCTTTTAGTATGTAGTTAGCACCATCTTCTATTTCTATTCTTTTTGGTGGTCAAGTTTATGTTAATTTTTCTGGTGACAAGAGTAAAAGATAGAACCACATACTACCCTCATAAAAACAAGTATTCAGCTTTGAATTTTGATGCAAGTCTACTGTTTCTTTTAACAGTTTAACACCACTTCATTGGTCTATTTGTATTGCTTGTCTAATGGTTATTGCAATTTCTACTTGTCATTTTATTGCAATAGCAACCATGGTATGTATGAAATTGTGATAACCAAAAATGCGAACCTAGAATTTATTGTGTTTTCATATATTGAACTTGATGTCCTAGGGTTTAGAGTGTTGGTTTCCGGTATGGTATACTTGTACAAAAATACGAGGGTTCAAGTCTGGCAGCTGTAATGTGGAGTTACAATTTCTTTGGAGGTCGGGCTTATTGTTAGTGTATACTCAAAAGTGAATCTTAGGATGATTGTATGTTTGGACACTTTAATGTCATCATATTTATTCATAGAGGTGTCATCTATTTATTGTGTGATTTATGTATTTTTTTTGTTGTACGATCAAGATAAAGTAGATATATGAATTAGATTCTTAAACCGTTTTTGGTCAAGGTACTATCGTAGACTAATGTCAAGTAGTACACTTGAATATGTGGGAGTTCATATGGTAGATGATAATAGAGTTCCATGTATGAGATGAGAATGTTGCATAAAATGTCATGAATATCATCATTGTTTCTTATGTCACCATAGTATATTGATGTTCTTTGACTTGATTTTGAAGTCTATTGTAGTTGACACATGCATTTTGATGCTAGCTCTAACCACAAGATAGATTTTGGGTGTGTGATAATGCCATAAGTTGAGACTTACATTATCAAAGATAGCGTTGGTGTGTGATAATGCCATAAGTTGCAAATTAGTTGGTGCGTTACAAAGACCAAATGGCATACGTCGAAAAGCAAAGGCTCCGAAAGGACAAGTGAAAGTGGTTTTCTCTTGATCCTTGGGGTGCAAAGTGAATTTGGTTGTAACCCGAATATCCGTTCAAAAAGCAATAAAATTATTATCCGGTCAATCTATCTAGCATTTGATCAATGAAGGGCAAAGAGAAATGGTCCTTCTTAGTTGCTAGATTTAATTGCCTATAATTCATGCAAATCCGCAATCCGGTGACGGTCCTAGTAGGGATGAGCTTGTTTTTTTCATTGGTGATAATCGTGGTTCCACTTTTCTTAGGTACACATTGTACCGGACTCACCAACCACTACTAGAAATGGGGTATATGATACCTGTATCTAACCACTTCAAAATTTATTTCTTAACAACCTCTTTCATAATGGGATTTAATCTCCTTTGTGGTTGCACCTTTCCAACTCTATTTTCTTCCAAAATTATCTTATGTTGGCAAAGAGATTGACTAATTCCTCTAATGTCGGCAATGGTCCAACCTATGGCTCTTTTGTGAGTTTTGAACACCTCTATCAAATTCAATTATTGTTCATTATTTAATTTCGAAGAAGTAATTACGGGTAATTTTTTTTCCTTCATAAGATAAACATACTTAAGGTGACTAGGTAGTGGCTTTAATTCTGAATTGGGGGATTTCTCTATGATGGTGCTTGGACAATTCTATCTTTAAAGTCAAGTTGCTCAAATGCCACTAAATCTTCCAAATCTTCCAACTCAACATTTTCTTCCAATATGTCCTCAAAATGTTCCCCAATGTCACCTTTGTAGGGAACGTCAATCAAACTTATCTCTAGATCTTCACCTAAAGCAGATATGACTGAACAATCACCTACCACTCCATGAAACTTAAGGGAATTTTAAACACATTGAATTTCACTTCCTGATCACTAACTCTCATGGTCAACTCCCCCTTTTGCACATCAATTAATGTTCTCTCGGTTGCAAGAAAAGGTCGACCTCAGATGATTGGGACATTCTTGTCAGCTTCATAGTCCAAAACTAGAAAATCGGCCGGAAAAATAAATTTATCGACTTGGACCCTCTATTTTTCCCTTAGGATACGCAATAGACCTATCCGCCAACTGTAAAGTCACGGTTGTAGAACGGACTTCTCCTCTTCTTAGTTTGTTAAAAACTGACAATGACATAATATTAATGTTTGCCTCAAATCACATAGGGCATGACCTACTTCTTTTCCTCCTATAAAACATGGTATGGTAAAACTTCCCGGATCTTTTAACTTGGGAGGAATTTTACAAGTAAGGAGTGCACTACATTCTTTGGTCAAAGCAATCGTTTCAAATTCATTCAATCTTCTCTTTTTTCTTTAGAATGTCTTTCAAAAATTTAACATAGTTTTGCATTTGCTCGAGAGCTTCTACCAAAGGTATGTTAATGTGGAGTTGCCTAAAGATGTCCAAAAACTTCTTAAATTGCTCGTCCATATTTTTGCTTTTCATTCTTTCTAGAAAGGGTAAGTTTTGCAAATTTGGAGCTGGTTGAATGGATTTGTTCAGTTGGACAGCGGGCACAAACTTCCTATTGTGGGAAGTTTCAAGAGAGAGCTGCACATTGCTGGAAGTTGAAGCAGGGATTGTTTTCTGGACAAACAAAATTTTGAGTTTCTCCATTAGGAGGACTCAAAATTGGAAATTTTTGACATATCAAAAGCATGTGAAATCTTGTTTTGATGGGTCGGTTTTTCGACGGTTTCATTTGTGTCATCATTGACTTTTGAACTCTCCTCACTCAACACAGTTACGACCTTGATATGTTCTTTACCCTTAGGGGTTTCCGTGTCACTAGGCAAAGTTCCTAAAGGTCTACCCTTGAGATCAGTGGCAAATTGGCTGAGTTGGGTTTCGAAACTTCTTAACGTTGCATTGGTTTGGTTTATAAAACCTTTAAGCAATGATTCGAGTGAACCATTACTGTTCGATGCATTTTGCCTAAGCATGTGTGAGTGTGAGGATTGTCCATTTTGGTAATTGTGCGAAGCACCTTGCCCATATCCCGGGGGATTTTGTACCTGATTTTGGACTTGTGTTACCTCGGGGGCGGGGGGTTGAAGTCCAGGATTTCCAGCTCAAGAAAAATTGGGGTGATTTCTCCAATTTGATTTATATGTGGGAGAAAATGGGTTATTTCTTGCATGACTCCCAACATAATTCACCATGAGGGGATTTCTGGGGCAATATTCATAAGAATGGCCCTCACTACAAAAGACACAAGATTCAGTCATAGGTGGATTAGACATTATGGATTGAACTTGATTTTTCTCTCTATTTAAATTTAAATTGTTTTTAACCAAATTAGTTAAAACTACAATTTGAGCATTTCAAGCGTAAGGCTTCTTGTGTGACTTCGGGAATTTTAAAATGATCTGTCATTTCTATAAAAGATTTTAAATGAGAGCGCGGATCTTCCGACGATAATCCCCCAAACTGACCCATTGCAGAAATCATTTGGAACATTACCGGTTTTGGTTCAAAAGCTGTCTCTGTCATTTTGGGCCTACCTATTCCCGCGGCCAACTGACCGAACTCGGGAGTTGCGTAGTCCCATATGCCTCTATTTTTATCATCGGCAATATTAATAGTGGCCTCCCGAGGAGGTAAATTATCCCCCATGGTATGGTTATGATTATTTCTACCTCTTCTACGTCTTCTAATGGTTCTTTCTAATTCAATATCGAGAGATAAAAGTTCACCGTATTGTAGCCTTGTGATGTGCTAGAATCGTAAGTGTTCACACAGTGGGCACAAAGTCCCCACAATGGCGGTGCAAGTGCACGCCGACATTATGATCGCTTCAAGTAATAGAGTGGTATAGTACCAATATCATTTCCACAGGAACTGAACTTACTGAGAATCAGAGAGTTTCATGAACTTCTTGAGCATGTTTCAGTTTGAGAATAAAAGTTGAGTTTTGATGGTGCAAAGCTTTTAAAATACTATTAAAACCTTTAAAATTAAAAGATGGGCATGGGTGTAAGTTTTCCTCAAGAAAATTGTAGGAACAATTTGGTCAGAAACTCATGTGACTTCTATAAAAACTTCAATCTCTCGAAAGTGAATTCTTATATACTGTGCCCACAGAGTGCCCACAAAGCGTCCAGTTTTATCAATATTAAACTTGTCGAATTAGCTAATAGATAAAAAGATATTTGGTTCCACTAGCCTGAAGATTTATACTCAAATCTCTTTGTAGTATAAACTCAACTAATATCTGAACATTTGCTAAAAACATGCAGAATCCGTATCTCTACGTGATTATCAAAGACTCTCTCAAATCTTTGTGCATCATTTAAGCCGT